TTTTAATTTTGGAAAACAGCAGCTGCTGTGAAGTTGCATGCAAAAATACACAACAAAACAATGCTTTACAGCGCTGAAGCCAGGCAGTGCCACTGCTCAGATTGGATGTGAAGGCTTGGGTGCTACTCCATTGTGCATTTCACAAATAACGTATCGTAATAAGATCCACATTTTCTTTAGCCTTAAATGCCCCTCTGTTGCATTCTGTACTACTGCTTTTTATGTACCAGACTTAGACAGTAGAAGTCATTTATATGCAAAGTGCACCATATATTGTATATACTAATTATATAATGAGTAGTAATAATGAAAATTTTCTGGCATGTTTAGACCACTTAAGTATGCAGTGAAATTAATTTTATAGTTAACTGTCTTATTCCTGATTTGTACATAAAGAACACTATGCCATCCAAAGAAAATATTAAATAGAGTATCTACTGATAAATGCATACAAGATTGTGTATATTAGGTATAAAAGAACCAAAATACTTTAGATGCATTTTATTGTAAATTGTGGGAAAATAGATGATATTATATTATGGGAGAGAGCAGTGTGTGATCACATAATTAGAAAATTATCATAATACTAATGCTCAGCGGTGTACAGGTGTGGTTTCATGAGCAGCCTGAACCATGGAGCTTGGAGGATGCAACTTTGCCATCCTCTTAACATTGTTTTCGCAATGTATGCATGTGTAAATTATATAATAGCAATTCCTGGGAGCCTCTACTCCTAAAATGTTCCTTCTAGCTATATGAACACATAAGGAAGCTACCGTGTGACAGATGACGATAATTTTTCATATAAGACAGTTCCCCTTGACTTGATGGATGCGGAGAGGGGGACCACGCTCTCTGGAAAAACACCAGGGAGCAGTGGGAAAATGTTTCAATGTGTATGGTAATCAAGGCAGAGTGTGGTTCTTGATTAGTCTCTGAAATTGCACTGCTGAGATGTGGGATCTGAATTAAGCACCTTTTTACCAAAGCCCTTTGCACTGCTATCCAGAAGTGTATTGTAAAAATTAATTTCCTTAAAATGCCGTGAGCAAAAATGATCCAAGATGATTTTGGCATATACTGAGCTCACTCAGTGATACCTTCCTTCTTAAGCTCCTATGAGGTCTGTACACTGAAGTATTTTATAGAGTATACCTCATTTTAGACTTGACTTTAAAGGGGAGTAAAATGGAATTGGCAAATATTTGGTGAGCTTTTGTCTGCGTTGGTTAAATTGAAGTTAAAGTAATTCCACCTGCAACAAACTTTCTAATTTCTACAGCAAGGAACGGCTGTTTCTCAGTCCACATTTGTTCAAAGCACAAGCTGTTAGAACCTGGAGGCACCACCAACTTTGTGAGCCATTGCCAGCATCTTAGTGTGTGCTGTGAATACACTGGGAATAGAAAGGCCAGAATAGGGGGAGAAAATTGCTTTCCAGTTTTATAAAGCTCGAGTGAGTGTCAGATAATTTTTTTTCTTTATCCTCC